AAGCATCCTTGGGTAGTGTAGATATTAAATTGTTAAAATCATGACCCCCGGGGGTAGGGCGGGGCCACAATAGGGAATCCAAGTTTTACATAGAAATATATAGAACAAATCTTTAAAAATCTTCTTCTCAAGAACCACTGGGCCAGGAAAGCTGAAACTTATGTGGAAGCATCCTTGGGCAGTGTAGATATTAAATTGTTAAAATCATGACCCCCGGGGGTAGGGCGGGGCCACAATAGGGAATCCAAGTTTAACATAGAAATATATAGAACAAATCTTTAAAAATCTTCTTCTCAAGAACCACTGGGCCAGGAAAGCTAAAACTTATGTGGAAGCATCCGTGGGTAGTGTAGATATTAAATTGTTAAAATCTTGACACCTGGGGTAGGGCAGGGCCACAATAGGGAATCCAAGTTTTACATAGAAATATATACAACAAATCTTTAAAAATCTTCTTCTCTAGAACCACTGTGTAGATTCTAAAGTTTTAAAATCATAAAAGGGAAGGGGGTAGTGGGCATGATAGGTATAGCAAGAGGGGGAATCTGGTAAAAGAACTGCATCACCCAAGTTACTCAGGTGAGCGATGTGGCCCATGGGCCTCTTGTTTAATTTTCATTGTTTATTGAGGTATGAAGAGACTCACAAATTCATGTCCTCAATACAATGAAATCTCAATAAACCATTGCAGTGATCCCAGGATGTTTCCTCAAACTATAAAAAATGATCAAACAAAAACCTAAATTTACAGTTTTGCAAGGAAAAAAAGTTTAATACATTATTTTTTGTTGGGTTTGAGGGAAATATTTACCTACTTATTGATGTTTTATATACATCTGTCAAATAATATTGTTAAGAGTGTGCATTAATCTTAGCTTTTTAACTATACAGAGAATCTTTTGGTTGGACTTTGACCTTGACTTTAGTAGGAGAATAACATTTATATCTTTGAGAATGACTTTGCTCTGCATGATCTATGAATATAACATTTCACAACTTTTGTACGAAGAGTCTCCTCAGCTGAGTCAAAGAGTCCCAAATTAGTTGAAATGAAACTGCATCCTAGAATGAGAAAGCTTAATCATCTCATTTCTATCTGGCAGTATATTCTTGTAGGTATCATTGCTTATTTCTTTATTTATTTTGTAGAGGACAGAACTACAAACAGTTCAGAACAGGTTCTTTTCCAGGAGTATGAATTGTTGATTGAAGGAGAAGAATTTCAGAAGGAGGAAGAAAAGTCAGAACCAGAAAAGAAAGAGGAGCTTCATTCCTTTCTGAAATCAGAAAAGGCTAGCTCCCTCTTACAGGATTGCTCCTCTGAGGAGCTGGAACGAATGTCTAACCAGTCCGAGGACAAAGTCTTCCTCAAGTTCAGGAAGCGGATGAACCATGCTCCTGAACAGGTAAAGCAGAAAGTCAAGATCTACTTGAATTTTTCCTAATAAATCAAATTTGGCTATACTTGTGAGCATTTTAAGACTGCAGAAAATAAATTTTCATAATATGACCTGAAGTTGTATACTATATATGTAGGACTCCAAAGTCCAATGGTCTAAACCAAACCCCTGATGGTTTGACATGCCAAAGTCCAATGTTGCAGGGAAAAAAATGACATCGTAGTACATGTACTACTGCCCTAAATTGCAATGCCTTGCCATGCCAAGATCTTAAATAAATGGAAATATCATATGCAAGGACTAACCTTAGTCTCTCTGATAGGTACAACTCTTGGGGGGTTGTGATTGTGTAAGGACTTACCCTTAACTTCTCAGGTTGGTGCAAAGCTATCCCATTATCAGTTTAATAGTGTGCAAGTACCAACCTTAAATCTTTCAAGTTGTGTGCAAGGACTAGTCCTTGAATCTATGGTGGGTGCAAAATCAGTAAAATTATATACAAGGACAAATGCCTAATTGATGGCTTTTGAATGCAGGACATCAAGGATTGACATCGTTATTATTGTGATGTCATAAACTTCATTATTTCTCCACAGCATTGGCCTTTGGCATGTCAGACCATTGTACTTTGGTGCAGTGCATCTCCTAGGAAACAAGCCATTGAATTTTGGCATGACCATTAGACTTTGGCATCCATATTGACATTAAACCATCAGGGTTTGTAGAGAGTAAGGCCTTTGACTTTGGCGTCACCATCGAATTTCGAATCTTATGTTCATACAGTTTTTATGCCCCCCTTCGAAGAAGGGAGGGCATTTTGCTTTGCTGCTGTCTGTTGGTCTGTCGGTTCCATTCACTTCCTTTGCAGAGGTAGCATATACTGAAATGAAATTTGGTTTACAGATTTATCAGCTGAATATTTAGGTCAAGTTCTGTTTTGGGTACGCTTGTGCCATTTTTTATAGAGTTATGCCCCTTGGACTTGGAAAAATTCCAAATTGGGGAAGGGGGGCATAAGTGTTTTATAAACATCTCTTGTTATGTTCGGAATTAATTTTTAAAAGTGGTTCTGAGAAAAATTTGGACATTTAAGAAAATATCTGTACACAGCCTTTGTGAATTTTATGACTTTATTAAAGTTTTGTGCTTTGACAATACATGTATAACAATATCTCTACCCAGCCCCATTGTAAATATTGTAGGTTTTGCGCTATGATAGTATCTATACTTAGCCCAATGTAAATATTGTAGGTTTTGCGCTATGATAGCATCTATACTTAGCCCAATGTAAATATTGTAGGTTTTGCGCTATGATAGTATCTATACTTAGCCCAATGTAAATATTGTAGGTCTTGCGCTATGATAGTATCTATACTTAGCCCAATGTAAATATTGTAGGTTTTGCGCTATGATAGTGTCTATACTTAGCCCGTTGTAAATATTGTAGGTTTTGCGCTATGATAGTGTCTATACTTAGCCCGTTGTAAATATTGTAGGTTTTGCGCTATGATGGTATCTATACTTAGCCTGTTGTAAATATTGTAGGTTTTGCGCTATGATAGCATCTATACTTAGCCCAATGTAAATATTGTAGGTTTTGCGCTATGATGGTATCTATACTTAGCCCGTTGTAAATATTGTAGGTTTTGCGCTATGATAGCATCTATACTTAGCCCGTTGTAAATATTGTAGGTTTTGCGCTATGATAGTGTCTATACTTAGCCCAATGTAAATATTGTAGGTTTTGCGCTATGATAGTGTCTATACTTAGCCCGTTGTAAATATTGTAGGTTTTGCGCTATGATAGTGTCTATACTTAGCCCGTTGTAAATATTGTAGGTTTTGCGCTATGATGGTATCTATACTTAGCCCGTTGTAAATATTGTAGGTTTTGCGCTATGATAGCATCTATACTTAGCCCGTTGTAAATATTGTAGGTTTAGCGCTATGATAGTGTCTATACTTAGCCCAATGTAAATATTGTAGGTCTTGCGCTATGATAGTATCTATACTTAGCCCAATGTAAATATTGTAGGTTTTGCGCTATGATAGTATCTATACTTAGCCCACTGTAAATATTGTAGGTTTTGCGCTATGATGGTATCTATACTTAGCCCACTGTAAATGTTGTAGGTTTTGCACTATGATAGTAGGTTTTGCGCTATGATGGTATCTATACTTAGCCCACTGTAAATGTTGTAGGTTTTGCACTATGATAGTATCTATACTTAGCCCAATGTAAATATTGTAGGTCTTGCGCTATGATAGTATCTATACTTAGCCCAATGTAAATATTGTAGGTCTTGCGCTATGATAGTATCTATACTTAGCCCAATGTAAATATTGTAGGTTTTGCGCTATGATAGTATCTATACTTAGCCCAATGTAAATTTTGTAGGTCTTGCGCTATGATTGTATCTATACTTAGCCCAATGTAAATTTTGTAGGTTTTGCGCTATGACAGAGGAGGGTCTCCGCTATTGGTATCCAGTGACAACAAGCCAGACCAGATTCCAAACTGTGACTGTGGAGCCAAGAGACAGTTCGAGTTCCAGGTTTGGACTACTCCTTATTAACAGATCATTATTGAATTGTTGTGTAATTTAAAGAGGCTGGGTGGTCGTGGTCATTTTTAGACTATTTTGATCTCCATTAGAAGAAGAGCTCCATATAAAGATATAATAACATGATCAAATTTTAAAGTTAAAATTTATGATATTTTTCTTTGCCAAATGATAGTTGACAGGGTAGACAGACTACTCGGCCCAACAACACCTCAGCCCGTGCTGGTTGACACCTCGGCCCTGACAGTTCGGCTCAAAATCATTGACACTTCGGCCCATACCGAAGACAGCTCGGCCCAAGGAATAAAATTAATTTTTTATTTAGTTTGTTTAAATAAGTTCAATTTTTATTTTCTGTAGTAATGTAGATATATGTAACATATAATTAATCACTAGGCCTAGAGATACGTTTACTATAGATATAATTTATATACGATAAACAGGGGCAGATAATTTCAGTATTTTTGAACAAACCACAGCAAAACATCGAATTACAATCCGTTTATTACAATGCAACATAATTACATTATACATTATTAATATATTTGTTAGCCATCTTTAAAAAATGTTTGGTTGCTCTCTCCCTTCTGACTGACTGAAATGGTCTACTGCAGTGCATTGTATAGTTGAATTTACTAATTATACTGTTTTTCTGGCGATATGGAACATCTGATATGGGTTGGTAATCAGTGTAAGGATATATAGACTTCCAATGATTATTATTGTCTCCCAATTATGCCTTCTCATAATTAACTCCTCATAGTCGTCACCCCATATGACAGGCGCTTGAGACTCTAAAGGATGCACCGCGTCTTCCTTGTTTGTATAATGATTCGCACTTAATCAAGTTACTACTCAGTGGGTGATCTTTCTTTAATTACCGTCAATTTGCCGTTTTGGAAGATTGTTGATGTATCAAATTAATTTCTTTTTCACTTCATAGATATATAATAGCATAAATAATAAATATATTTAACTCAAATATATTTTTGTTTGGGCTAAGGTGTGTTTTATGTGAGCCGAGGTGTCCTCAAATTTGGGCCGAGCCGTCGGAGCCAAGGTGTCAATGGGCCAAGATATCGGTGGGCCGAGGAGTCGTTGGGCCGAGCAGTCTGACATTTGTTGACAGCTTAAGATATCATATCCCAAAATTTAAGCTATATCTGGTGGTTAATAAAAAAATAATTAGTTGACCCCCTAGAGTTCAATTAATGTATATTTTTGCCTTATTCTGACTACCGGTATATACTTAAAGTCCATGATAATTTTTATGCCCCCCTTCGAAGAAGAGAGGGCATATTGCTTTGCTGCTGTCTGTCAGTCGGTCTGATGGTCCACCAAATTTCTGTTCATTTTCTTCACAACTGTTGCACATACTACTAAATTGAAATTTCGTATACAGATATGTCATAAGTATATCTAGGTCAAGTTCTGTTTTAGGTATGATCCAGTAGTTTTGGACAGAGTTATGCCCCTTGGACTCAAAAAAAAAATGCATTTCAAGTTATTTGCCATTTCCGTTCATTTTCTTTGCAGAGATTGAACATACTAAAATGAAATTTGGTATACAGATTTATCATTTTGAGTATATAAGGTCACATTCTGTTTTGGGTATGATCAAGCAATTTGGGACAGAGTTATACCCCTTGGACAGATGTCAGGTGTATTCTAGATTTACAATTTATTCCATTTTTATTCTCTGTTCAAAACTTACTGCATAAAAAAAGACTATATACACTGTATGGTGTATTTTAGACCTTAGTGTATTGCAGATTTATAGGCTATAGAAGTTTTGTGCCTCTTGGTGTACCAGTATTCTAGGAATGCTCCTTGGAGTTGAACAAATTATATATCCATTTCTAATTGCTTTCTCTGTTATGACGCTTTATAAGTTAGGAGAGTTGATTTGATTTCTTGAACATTCTACTGGAATGTAAATTTTGCCAAGCAAGAGGTCAAAGCTAAGGAGGCCTAATATGCAGGTAAATTTTGTGCGTCTGTCTTTGTGTCTGATGCTAAGGAGACCTCGTATGCATGTAAGTCTCATGCAACTGCATGTCTTTGTGTTTGACGTCGTGGACGGGACTTTTGAAATTGATATGGGAGGCCTCCTGTAATTTAAATCTATCAGTCAACATTTTTAAAATCTAAATTTAGAATTTTATTTCACAATGAAATGGAAATATAAGGAATCGCTGGTAGAGTCATTCTTCCTTTCACTGTTGACTTTTGTCTGTCTGTCTGTAGGTGATGCCGCAGCTCCTGTGTCACCTTGGTATGGACCAGGTCGGGGACAGTATAGACTGGGGCACACTCTGTGTTTACACCTGCTCAGCTAACTGTTACCATGGTAACCAGTATCAACAGGAGTATCTATGGAAACAAGACTATTCCAAGTAGACTTGACTGGCCACTCTGTTTTCTGCATCTAATCAGTGCTTTTAATCTGAATTAATTTTGTTATATTAAAGATTGTCAATTATTTCAAGTGACTCAAAATTTCTTACATAAAGTAAACGTTTATAGACTCATATTTGTTGAGAATATTATTGCTTTATAGAGATAACATTTAGATTATTCTTTAAAATTTTGTTCTGATAAGAAAAACCTATAACAAGCAACTTGAAATGTTTATTAAGAGTTAGGAAAAATTGAATAAATATTTTTTTTTTTTAATATGGGTCCTCATCATTGATAATTTTTCTTTTTATGTTTTAAGAGGCATTTTCTTATAATTTTGGAGATTTGACATTTTTTGAAAGTTTGTATTGAGTTGAAAATACATTCTTTCAAAAAAATCTCACATCTCCAAAATTAAAACTTCAATCAAAGATTGTTCATTCACTTTCAAGAATTTTTTATCTCAATGGTCTTGATTTTCAGTTGTTAACAAATCTCTTATTTAAGGGTACTTAACACAAACAAAAAATTGATGCATGCTTTGATATATATTTTTTGCCTGATTTTTATTTGAAATGACAAATATAATAAATCCCTGAAATATAAAGAAATTGTAGGTTTTCCTTGGTGCTTTGATAGGAGACTTTGTTTTGCTTTCTATATAATTCCATACAAAATTTTGCACAATTTTTTAACGTTATGACAAAATCTTATGAAATTCTTCTACTATACTTGGTAAACATTATTCAGGTTACCAGTTTAAATGTAAATCTATGAGAAATATTGTTGATTCATAAAAAAGTTTGTTTGTGTTATTTATATATCCTTAATCATCTCTCAGTGGAATTTATATCGGTACATGTATATAAGCAGAGTGAAATACTGTTATTGTGGAAGGAAAAATATCAATGTGTCTTTTGATTCTTTGATTTTTTTTAAATTTGATTTTAATATCTAGTTTAATTATATAAATTATTAAAAATGGAAACACAATTTTCTCTTCTTGTGAACGTCATGTTTATTAGAGATATATATACAGAATTGTTCAGTAAGTGTCCCTGGATTCCTTAAGATGTATGAGTTTGTGGGGACCTTGTTGACTTCACTGTGTACTAGGTATGTCTACAGCCCCCTTTGATGTTTACTGTGTACCTGCCTCTGTATACAGTGTGGGGGTCTGTGTAGGTATACCTTGGTCTGCTTGACTACCTGTTTCAACTCTCATGTGTACTAGGTACCCCCACAGCTCCCTTTGAGGTTGACTGTGTACTTTTCTGTGTGTACAGGTAAAGGACTGTGTAGGTATACACCTTGGTCACACCTGACTACCTATTCTGCTTCTCCCGTGTACTAGGTACCCCCACAGCTCCCTTTGAGGGCTACTGTGTACCTGCCTGTTTGTACAGGTGAGGATACACATGACTACCTGTATTTACCAGGTGTGTGGATTGGGGGTACACACATTCACACCTCCTGTGTTTGTACAAGCAGTACTTTTTCACACAGAAGTGTTTCAAACTTTAACATAAACCAAAAAAAAAAAATTAAAAATAAATAACTAAATAAATAAATATAAAATAAAAGAAGTAAACAGATTCTTTACTTCAAACACATGTATTTTACAGCCTTAATATATTTATATATTTCTTAAGTTAGGTTAATATTATATACCCCCAGAATACTTTTTTTGAAAATTATATATGGGAGGAAATAATCACTGTTTTATCATTATGTAGTAATTACATTCAGCTTTAAGTTCTTGATCCCCCCTTTTTAATTTTATTAGTACAGCAATTACATCTGTAAATGTGATGTCTGATAACAATTTAATAGATATGCATCCAAACAAATTTCTTTATATTTGTACATTGTGATAAAAAAAGTCAAAGTAAACAATAAGATGAACATTGAGCAACTTTTACAAATATATAGTGATAAACTATTTCTATTTTTTTAAATTTTAATGTTTTTTTTCTTTGGTTGATTTAAGCATATTTTATTGAATAATTCAATAAATATTGGGAAACATGCAAAACCTAAGAGCAATCCTCTCTTTGTATAAAAGGTAAGCAAAAATAATATTTTACACGATCATAAATAAGCTAGATTTAAAAAATAAAGAATCACAATCAATTATCATTTTTTCTTTGGTTGTAGCAAATTCATTAATGAGTTAATTCAATCATTCAGGTATTTAATCTTTTATATAATTCTTTAATATTATGTATTCAATTTTTTGTCATTGAAAGTAAACTACTACAAATACATTACACATTTTTCCTTCTGACATACTCATAAATATATAATGTTCTGTTATTGTCCTTAAATTATACATGTTATACTTTTGTGTAGTTCACAGAATTTTTTTTTAATTACATGTAATATCAAATTTATAGTAATGTGATGTCTTATGAGTGTTGAAAACTACAGACTGAAACAAATTATTTTTAGATTGTTAAGTCTTTTTTACATGTTTAAATGTTGAGAGCAGAAGAAAAAAAACTAAGTTTTTTTTTGTCTTGCTTTCCATTACTATTCAATTGTATGGCATACTCTTTTCATCAAAGAATTACACAAATCAAAGTATTGGTAAAATATTTTGAGAAAAAATATTTCAAGAAAAAACTGTTTAAGAAAGTAAGTTTTTTTTGTCTTGTTTTCCAATACTATTCAATTGTATGATGTACTCTTTTTATCAAAGAATTAAACAAATCAAAGTATTGGTAAAATATTTTGAGAAATAATATTTTAAGAAAAAACTGTTAAAGAAAGTAAGTTTTCTTGTCTTGCTTTCCATACCATTCAATATTGTATAAAGTACTCTTTTCATTAAAGAAATAAACAAATCAAAGTATTGGTTAAATATTTTGAGAGATTATTTAAAAAAATATTTATTTATTTTAAGATTTCTTAATAAATTATTTTTTATTTTTCTCTTTTTTTTTTCTTGTAGAAAAATCTAAAATGTCATGGGATTGGTCAGATTTCAGATGTTATGTTGGCTGTGATTGGCTACCCAGGAACTACTTAAGTACACAGCAGCCCAGGGAGGGACATTTACCTGACTACCTGTCGGGGACCACCACACCTGTCATCAGACGGTAAGTACCTTACCTGTACAGGAGTTATATACTTGGGATATCTCCCCTACCTGTAGTTAGACTGAGTATCCCCCTTACCTGTAGATATATATACTGGGTATGTACCTCTTCACCGTTAGATGTATGGGTAAATCATTTTAGAATTTTATATTTTGAATATTTTTAAGTAGATTATTATTTAGAAAAACAGAATTTCAATTTCAAAAAGTAATGAATAAAAAAAATAATAAAGATGACTTAAAAAACATTTTGGAAAAACACTAAAAGATTACTTCAGTATAAGGAATAATATATTTTTTTTTCTTTTAGCAGTTCTTCATAATCTGTAGTTTTTAAAAGCAAAAAGAAAACTATGAGTACTTTGATTTTAATTTTTTTAGAATTTTTTTGAAACACAGCAGTTTTAGTCTGATTTCAAGCTTCCATAAAAACTACACTAAGGTAAATGATTCTTATTTTCAACACAAGTATCTTATTTTGATGAAAGATTTTGACATCAAATTTCGGGGTATTATTTCAATGCTACTAATCTGACATATCAGTCTAATTAAGGGTTATGACTTTATACATTGGTCCTGTGAACTTGCAATTCCAATAGAGTGTCAGACATGTACAAAGTAAAAAGCAGTAGAGCTACAGTCTCATCAGAGAGTTATTAAATGTTGGGTTCATGGACAAGAGAAAGAAAGATAATAAATGAAAAATAAATCCTAAAAAGAGCCATTTCTATGAATTTAAAAATGCTACTCCTTTTACTATTAGGTTTGATTATTTAAAAAAAATAACTTGGACAATCATCTGAAAGAAAAACAAAAAATTCTTCGTATATGTATTTTTATGCCCCTCTTCTGAGAAGGGACATTTTTGCTTTGCTGCTGTCTGTCTGTCTGTCTGAAGGTCCACCAAGTTTCCCATTATGTTCTTTGCAGAGTTTGCACATATTGAAATGAAATTGAGGGGGCTGACTTTTGTTTTCATTGTGCAATATTTCACGCATCATAGTAAAAATGAAGCGTTTATACTGTTTTAATGCAACCTTTTTTCCACTTAATTGATAAATTAGACAAAATTAAGAGACTACAGGTTTAAAAATGTAATTACAATTTCATATAACCGATTTTTTTAACTGATTTTGCAATTGATAGGTAGGTTGACGTCGTTACAGTGTGTTTTTGACATTATGTTAAACTGAAGCTCTCAATGAAAGGGTAATAAAAGTGTTATAAAAGAAAAAATAATAAACATACTCTCTTGAAATTTGAAACATAGAAATTTGAGAATATCTCTATTTTTTTTATCATGTTTTCATAAAAATTCTTTCCGCCCGTCATATCTTGTAGTACTCTATAAAAACAGGAAAATTCGTTAGTTTTTGGCATTTTGAGATGCCCCCGCTGGTAATAAGATGGTAGAATTTTGTGTTTCTTACATATAATGTACAATATAGTATTACTCATCAAATAATACAATTTGAACAAAAAGTCTATTGTAGTATTTGTATAATTTGCTGTAAAGTGCGAAATTTTCGCAATTTCCCATATAATCCCATAGTTAATGTATCTGTATTTTGAGACGGTTCCTTAAAAATACCTGGATGATAGATTTCCCCTAAATTTGGCATGTACACTGAAGTTAATGTAAGTTATATATGGTATAAAAATGAAGAGTTTCGCTATTGTAGTTTTCACACAAAAAAAAACCTATTAAGGACGTGGATCCTTCATTTTGGTCACAAATTCTGCATTAAAGTTCTAACATTAAATCTGAATTCTACAATGCAAATTGAACTGTATTTAATGAAAAAAACCGTGCATAAATTTCATTTAAGTAGAATTAAGCTAGGGACTATATTTTGTGGCGGAAGATTTTTTTTAGACGAAAATGATCAGTTTTTCCCCTTTTGAACTAATATAACAGTACTTTTAATTTTGGATTCCTATTGTTCCATGCTGGTTGCACACAAAGCTGATTTTTGCAGTGAAATGTGTTATGCTGGTTCTGAAATATCTATTAAATTATTTCTTATGAATTCTTTCAACAAAGTGTGACAAAATAGTAAATATATTCTGAAAATCTGGGGAAAAATTTAGTCAATTTTAACGTAAAATTGACACTTTTTTTAGTAATATCTGAAAATTTACATCATATACCCCCACTTTTGATGTTCTTTTCTAAATATTCAAGATACCTTTGACCTATTTGCTTAAAATCAGAAAAAGTTTAAGACTTTAACGTAATTTTCTTGCTTATTAAATTTTCAATGCCGGAAAAATCACATTTTATTAGTGTAGAAAGATCATATAGTTGATTATGCGAAGCAATTTAAAACTTTTTCTTAGTCACAATTTTAAAGTGCCTTTTTTTAAACAAACTATGAATTCATTTTGTTTCATGCTTTAATAGGATAAAAATATTGGAGGGAAAACGTCAAAAATTTAATTTTTAATTAAGACACAAAATTTCAGTGCAAAAAGGTCATATTAAATGTTCTGTAGCGCCAAAATAAGCGTATTGACCCCCATTTTTTGATTTGAATTTTAATTAAGCTATGTATGTAGAAACTAAAAATATACTTGACAAAAAAAGTTTAAGACTTTAAATATCAGGATCGAACGTCGTTAAGTGTACAGATTATCATAAGAATATCTAGGTCAAGTTTTGGATATGATCGAACCATTTTTAACAGAGTTATGCACCTTGGAAAAATCCCAAATAATTTTGAAATTACACATTTTAATTAATGTTTTGGTAAATATTTTTTATTGTCAACAAACTAATTCAACTTAATTACCTTATATGGTAATATTTTAATTAAAGTCTTTTCGATTTTTATTTCTTGTTTGGCAAAATAATAAAATGCTGACTAATTACGTGAATTATTAAAGAGAATACATGCAGACTGATCGTTTATACTTTACTGCAATGATATAAATATAGAGTCTTGTTGTAAAAAAAAAAACACGTTTGTTTATTTTCTGCCTTAAATACTCTAAAAATAGTAACACGCCTTTCGGTTATGTCTGTGTTGTTTAATTTGTATTTTTTCCCAAAGAGATGTAAGCCTTGTTTCAGTTCTAACTATTCATGCGGACTATTTTTAATCACTATTTTCTTAGAAATTCATAAATCATAAATGTAACCTTATGGTGTTCACAACTGATAAGCAAAAGCCACAAAAACAATCAGAGCCCTTTCCAATAAAAAATCATTAATATTCTCATTAAAAAAATGTCAACAAAGAGCACGTTTCTGAGAATATGTGTAATGTCACGATTTCCAGCACCACAATGAGATTTACTAAACAGTTCTTTTAACAAATGACTCTTGATTCTGTTTTCATGTCATTTTAATCGCTTGAATCAAATATCTGTATTTTGGAAAGGTCGATCCTTTACTGATAAGCTATTCCAAATGAAAATCAAGAAGTCTTGCATAAATATTTTAGGTCAAGCTTTGTTTTGGCTGTGATGGAGCAATTTTTGACAGAGTTATGTCCCTTAGTCTTTGAAAAATTCCAATAATGGTGGTGGTGGTGGGACATTGAATTGTCCTCATTTGAAAAATTGGTTAGTTTGAAATGAATTCTTTTTTTAAACTGGTACAAATTTCTTGAAATAAATACATGTATAGATATTGGTTAGATTGAAAAACTATGCTAATTCTAATCAATTTGATAGTCTTAAAAAAATACTCTTCTTAATATGATTTTCTTCATAAGTTATATATACTTGTAAAGGTCTTGATTTTAATAAATTGTGTTGCCAAGGTTATTTCAAGTCAAATTTCTTTGTATTCCTTCCAAATGCAATCCCTCTCTCTAATTAGGGTTGATATATATCTTATGTTAGCTGTACTGGTCAGAGACTAAAAGAGCTTATGCCATAGTACTTCGTTTGTCCTGTTTAGCTGCCTGTCTATCTGTTAACAATTATTCAAAACACTAGATATGCATATTCTTGCTACAGTTTTGGTCTGATTTCAGTATCACTTGGCACACAAGTATATTTCACCAGTTTTGATTTCGTTGATCAGTGTTGCCATGGTTACTTTAACTGAAAAATTTCTGTGAAATTCCTTTAAAATGATATTCCTCCAAAAGTGTTGCTCTGAATTTAAAGATTACTCAGCACACAATAATACTACAGCACACAATAATACTAATATTTCAGACGTGCGTAGGTGTTTTGATTGTCATAAATGGTGCTGCCATGGTTAATTAAAATAGAAGTTTCTGTTAAATTCCTTTAAAATGTTACTTCTCATACAATTAAGTCTGATTATATAATTATTTTCACACTTCTAAATATTGTTCGTTAAGATTCTTTCAAATTAAAAAAGTTCATATGTTCTCATGAACTACCATGGTATGAGTAAGAATACTACCATTGTGAAATGGAGTAAAAAATGCAAACTTAAAAAAGAATCACCAAATGACAGAAATATGTGGTAGTTGGAAATCAGAAAAATTATGCAATTTTTGAGAATCATGAAGCACATGAACTTAACAATGCTTCATGTCTGCCTATATTTATCATGAAGTGCTAAATTATAAAACGTGCTGACATGAAATGATATATGCCAATGTATACCATCGTAGTTCATGTCCTCATGAAATTTAAAAAGATTTCAAATATTACTTGACACAAAAAAGTCTACACTAAGATACATAATTTAATGCGTGGTTTTGTTCAGTGTTGCCATGGTTGCTAAAAATTGAATTTTCTGTGAAATTACTTTTAAGAGCCCCTCTTCTACAGTTTTGATTTAATTTTAATGTAATTTGGCACACAAGTAGATAACACTAAGATACATAAATTTTCTTATAATTTTTTGTGATCGTTTTTGTCATGGTCCCTATACGGGTAAATGAAAATTTTGGTGAAAAGAGGTCAGAAGGTCAAAGAATGCATTTTGTTTTGATGTCACAAATGTTGAACGCAGTGAAAGTGCAACATCATAAGCAAAAATTAAAATTCACAAAAATGTAAATATAAGCTTTT